AACCTAACCCCCTCATTTACATTCATTCTTATGGGGAAATTGGATTCGCTTAACATCATTTCGCTTAAAGTCGCATTTTTCAGGAACATAACTACAATGTTAAGTGAGGAGTTACTGTAGCTATAATATATAATAGTGATCTTAGTTGATTCACCTCTGATGTGTTAGTTCTCTAGAAAGGGAAACAAAACCAAACATATTTGAAATCTCTAAAATGAGCATTAATACATTCTGCAATTCATAATTAAACAATATATAGATGCTTTAATGTTTTGAGCTTTTGCATGTGTAGATTTTCCTATGAGACTCTTCTGTGTGTAAAAATGGATGCATTAACCACACAGGGCAAGATTATGGCCCTTGCTGTATGCTTGTACAGGAGAGTAAAGGACATAAAGAACCCTCTTCTTCTCCTGCCCTTGCTACCAGGGCCGGCTCAGGCTTTTTTGCTGCCCCAAGCGGCGAAGGAGGGAGAAAAAAAAAAAGCCGCGATTGGCGGCACTTCGGCGGCAGCTTAACTTCATTCCTCTGGGGCAATTCAGTGGCGGGTCCTTCGGTCCGAGAGGGACTGAGGGACCCGCCGCCAAAGACCCGGACGTGCCTCCCCTTCCCACTGGCCGCCCCAAGCACCTGCTTCGTTTGCTGGTGCCTGGAGCCAGCCCTGCTTGCTACCCATATTGAGGAGAACAGCTGCCGTCAGTCTCCTCCCACTTAGGTGGGCAGGGAGTGCATGGAGCCTTGGATTCCCCTCCCCTAACATGCCAGCCAGTGCATCTGAGCTGGCACAGAGGGGGAAGTAAGCTGTCCCAGGAAAAGGGCTGGCACTTTACTTCCCTCATGGAGCAAGAGAGGAAAGGGACTGAACTGTGACTCTGACACTAGTTCTTATTCAGCGCAGACTGTCAGATGGGAATCTATCTCATGGTAGGTGTTTTAGCAGAAAACCCAAATGAAATGTGACATCCTTTGGATGACATGCCGGGTATTTATTCATACAACTGAGTGAAATGCAGTTGACTGTGGATTTCAATATGGGTATCAAGATCACCGTTCTTTTTGACCCAGAACATTGCAAGTCTTAGTATGATTATCCCTTTGTTTGCTTTATAACTTGGATAGTTACTAACAATAAGCAGTGCTCCGGAACTGGTTAGTCTTCTAGAGCACTGTGGAATAACTGGTTCAAGATAAACTCCTTATATGTGTCATTTTAGTTTAATGATCTACTTAGGTGTCCATAAGCTGGTCTCTTATTGTCCTATAGATATAGGGCCTGATTCTGCTCTCACACTCAATTTACAATGGTTTAATTTCATTGACTTTAATGCAGTTAATTATGGCTTAGACTAGAGTAACAGGAGCATCAAGGGCATAGGATGTATGTCATGTAAAACTGGGCTGGTCCTGATCCTGCAATCTGGACTGACTCATATGCCTGCAGAGAGTCCCACTGAAGTCATTCTAGTTTCTGCATGGTGGCTGGGATCTGCCCATGTGGATCAGTTTGCATGATTGGGGCCTAGATGCTCCCTCTTCATTCCTAATGCCATTGCACATTCTTGGGTGTTGGGGACATGGGAGTTTTTGCATTGATTTCTGACTATAATTGAGTTCAGTACCTAAAAGAATTACTGTTACTGGTGATTACTTAAAGCTGTCATTTATAACAATGACTCTGATAATTTGAAATGGGATCCAAAAAAATAAGCACGGGTATAGAACAAACCTACGCCGCATTAATGTCTTGTATACTGTATCAAGGACACAGCAGAACTCAAACAGAAATGGGTACGACTGTTTGATTTTCCATAATTAATGTGTTTGTTTTAGGGGGGTGGAAAGGCCTAACAAGAAGTGATGCTGAAGAAAATCACGTTGTGCCTAACAGAAAGGAGAAAATATTGTTAGCTGAGCTCATCTGTATTGAATGCAAAGATTGTTGGTAATGCAGTCAATGAGCACTTGGATTTTCTGCCTCCTAAAAGTTAATGATTATGAACTAAAGGCCAAATACTGTCTTCAGGATACATACAACCCTCAACAGTTGTATCTATAATGGAACCTATAGTGAGCAAGCATCGTGCCTCAATCCTGTCTCCCCCATGACTGTTGAGTTTACAGTCCAGAGACTCTTTACGTGTTGAGCTGTGGAAAACATTCCAGGACTGGTTTGAGGAGTGATAAAGGGTAATGCATGTGTTATTGCACAGCCCTATGATCTGCCCATAGCTTAGAATATAGAATATCAGGGTTGGAAGGAACCTCAGGAGATCATCTAGTCCAACCCCCTGCTTAAAGCAGGACAAATCCCCAGACAGATTTGGTTTTTTACCCCAGTTCCCTAAATGGCTCCCTCAAGGATTGAACTTACAACCCTGGGTTTAGCAGGCCAATGCTCAAACCACTGAGTTATCCCTCCCCCCATGCTTACACATGCCTTCTCTAGCTCAGTGTGGTCATGCTTCTGCACAGCGATTTTTGGCCTGCCTTAAATAATGCCAATAATGATATTTTAATAAGCATGAATGTGTGCCCATTTTCAAGTTAAATGAAACTTAACTTGAGCCCAGGGAGGCTCTTTGAGGGGAGCGTTGCCTACCCTGTTCTATGTCTGATAATCTAATTACTGCTGTAAATTGGTTCTGAGATGCTTTTAAATATCAGTTTTGCCTACTCACTTTCAGATGTCACCAGGCTCCTTTGGTTAAATCCTGAAGGATGTGATCTGAAGATGAGATGTCCAAAAACAAACAGGGGCACACAGGCAAAAGAATGTAATGCAAACGCTAATACAGAGCTTTCTTCATTATTGAATTACTGGTCAATTTGATCCTTCATTTTATTTGATTGAAACCTCAGGAATCAGGTCACTTGTTTTGTAAGTAACAAAATTTCTGACCTTTATTCTGATTGCATTTGACACTAAGGAGTGCTTAATTAGTTCATTGGCCATAGGAAAAGCGCCATTTAATCAATAAGGTAGTCTCCTACTGGCTTTTATACAGGATTATAACACTGAAGAAAAACAAGAATCTCTCTCCTTAAATGAACAAGCAAAATATTACACATAAAAGAGAAGACTACAATGCTCAAGAACGATGGTTAAAATTTAAAAAGCTGTGTTACTGCATCAGTGACATTTTAGGACACTACTGGGTTGTGTGAATTATTATAGGTCCACTGCCCTCCAGTGGTCACACATATAAAACAATCAGTTGCCTATCCAAGTGATAGGAAAAAGTGGAAGACTCTGTAAACTCCTGGAACACATTTCCAGGGGAGGTGATAGGGTTTAATCATCCCACTGCCAGAAAGCAGGAAAAAAGGGTTAATAAGCTTCCTGGGAAGAGAGGAAAAGTACCTGCCACACCCCGCAGGGAATATCTAAACTGCCTAGGTATGGAGGGAGGAGATGACAGTTGGGTCTGATTAAGAAAGTAGGCTTTTGAAAAAGGCAGGATTAGGTCATGGGTGTGGTC